TTTTTTTTTTTTTTTTTTTTTTTTTTTTTTTTTTTTTTTTGTCTATTTGTTTTTTGTACAAGCACAGAGCAAGAAAAAGGGGCAGATTTTGTTCTGGACATGCCTGGAAGGTGCCCCAAGTGCAGCTGTGTTTTGAGCCCAACAGGCTGGTTTTTACTTGATAACTCTTAGTGATATTCTCTGGAGCACACCACCTCTCCATTTCCTGGCTGTGCTACATCTTTTAAGGGGGCGAGTCCCATCTGCTTCAAACAATACAGCACAGGSTAGGAAATATTCAGGCTCCACCAAAATCTGTGAGCTAAGTTCTGATGCTACACTGTGTAAAAGGTGAAAACACTCAACTTGTAATCACGTTCAAAGGAGAACGTGAGTCCTGAACAAGAGCTTTTTTTGGTTGCAGATGCTCCCCACAGCAATCTCTGGTGTGATGCTCCCTAGCTCAGATAGCCAACAGAACAGTTCCCTGTGTGTGATATCTATTTAACTCTGTAAATTGGGACTATTTCTCTTTTGATGGGTGTTCCCTGTGTTAGGGAAAGAAGAGAGGCAAGAAGAGAGACCCCTGAAAGATGTCACACGTAGGAGCAGGATTTGTTGCAGCACCAGCTGACGGGCACAKCTCCTGCCACAAGGGAAGGGAGAGGGAGGGCTTACTTCTCCATTAATCAGAGTTAATTTATTTTTGATGTTTTGGGGCCTCCCAGGAGTAATACCTATAGTTCCAGGCTTAGTTTCTAGTTAGTAGCTCAGTGACCTCATTAAATAGGTCCATCCCAATCTCACGATGATGTCCCTGCAGCCCTGCCCAGGGTTCCCKGGTGGATCCCAACCTGTCAGCCTCTCTGCCCTGGAGTAGGTGCAAGGGGGAGCACTGCTGCTTTACAGCTGTGACAGAAGTSATGGCACAGGGACCACAAGCTCTCAGCTTGGGAAGAAAGAAAGTCCTGTTCCAGTGTACAGGTTTTGGGGACAATAGAAGAACAAAAGTACTGCAGCCTGAGGTATTCAGGAAGCATTTTTTTACTGGAAGCAGGCATACCTTGGCCGGGAGAAGATGGCTCAAGCAACAGCAACAAGTAACTAGATAGGAGTCTTATCTGGAAATCATAATTTCAAATCTTTCTATGCTCCATTATGCATAAGAAAGGGCATCCAGAGATCCCCCATGTGTCTGCATCACTGAACTTTCTCAGAAATCCAATATACTCTGAAAAATGACACTTGTGCCTGGGCCATCCCTAATGCCACCACACTGGATTTTGTCTGTTTAGGAGCAAGTCTGTCTAAGGGCTCTTTATTTTTCTCCCTAAACTGGGAGATAAACTGAATTATTATCCCAGTTTAATCAAATTTCAGATTTGACATGGAGATAAAGGATTGAGGTAATTCAGGGATTTGGGATTAGAAAGTGCAAATTGCCTGGGCTTATTCCAAAAGTCATTGGGTTTTTTTCCCAGATAGAACCTGGCTGGGAAGGTATTTTCCATCTGTCTGAAAGGTATGCAACTTAAAATTACATTTAATGTAAGTCTATCTTTTCTGTCACCTTCAATGTCCTTAAAAATCCTTGCATACCCTTTATAAACTCATCTGAAGCAAATAATAATGTCCAATTTTCGTACTTGGATAAAAATATCAAGTGTCAAAGAGTCTGCGTTGGAAAGTGGCTTTAGCAGCCTAAAAGGTGTCACCTTTGTTTTTCAGGTAAGTTCAAGAAATCTCAACCCTAAATTAGATACCCCCAACAGATGATTACAAAATCTAGGGTAGCATTTAAAAAGTTTTTGTGTAAGTTGTATAACTGGTGAGTTTGACTTYAGTGTATTTTATTGCCCAAGYATYTGGAGTTGCACTGAAAGAATCWCAGAATCAATCAGGTTGTAAAAGACCTCTCAGACCATCGAGTCTAAACCTCGGCTGGTCACCACCTTGACCAGCCATGTTCAGTCATTTCCTGGGCACCTCCAAGGATGATGATTCCACCATCKCCCTGGGCAGTCCATTCCAATATTTAACAACCCTTTCCATGAAGAAATTCTTGCTAATGTTCGTTCTGAAACTCCACTGGCACAGCTTGAGGTCTTTTCCTCTTGGTTTGTTGCTAATTCCATGGGAGAAGAAGCTGACGCCCACGAATGAAATAGTATTCTTCAATAAAGTGTTGTTATTAAAAACAACAAAGGATTGATACTAAAAGCAATTCCTGAGGGTAAAATATATTTTGGAATGCTTGGAACCAGGTAAGATCTGCATCAAACTTTTTTGAACCATTTCATCATCTGAAAGGAGAGGGGGGGGGGAAAAAAACCCGAACCCAAAACTACACATTTGCCATGTCTGAGTGAATTAGGTGTCAGCATTCCATACCTTGCAGAGGGATGAACTGGAGAACTTGGAGATGTGRGTTTTCCAATGTCACAGTGCCCAAGAGTCACAACCTTCACTTTTGTTGTCCCAGAACATTTCATTCCAAAACAGGGGCTTAAATGACAGTTGATTATAYAGAGTTTATATTAATAACTTAGGCTCAAAGGGATAACAGTTTCATAATCTATTCCTCTACATCATGTTGTACCAAACCAAATCCACTGGACAAAGCTAGTCAAAACTGGTTCCAAGTGGTACAAAGCAGTTCAAACTGGATCCAGCCGGTCGCAACCATTTCAAACCAGTTCTAAACAGTTAAAACCAGATCAAACTGATTCAAACTGTTTCAAACCTGGTTAAACTGGATCAAACCAGTTCCAGCTGCTTCACTGGTTCAAGCCAGATCAAACTGGTTCCACCTGGTTCAAACAGGTTTCCAATGGTCGAAGTGCCCCAATCCTCACTGGAAAGTTTCAAAAYTAGATTGCTGACTTTGGAGCAGAGTTACTGAGGTTCTCTGCGGGACGTGGGACTTCAGGAATGCTGGTTTGAACAAGAAGAATCTCTCCTGTGCATTGATAACTAGAAGGAAGATTTGTTAACCCGTCCTCTCGCTGAGCGTTGTGCTCCTTGGCAGGTACTGTCCCCTCTGGTCACCAGCTGACCTGAGGATTCATTTTCCCCACAAATATCAGTAAGGGATGCAGATTAAGGCTGCCTATGGGGTGACTCTGACAGCTGAGACGCTCTCAGCTACTGCGCCGCCCCTAACACAGCACGGTGGCTTCGAGAGAGGTGTTGCTGTATTTTGCACACTCCTGCACGAGCTGTTTGTGGTTCTGGGGAGCATGTGGCACACACACCTGCTTTGGGCCGTGCCATTCCCCCAGGCTCTGCCATGCTGCTCCTATTTTATGACAGAGCCCAGCACAACGCRATCCAAAGAGCAGGTGTGTGACAAACCTCTCACTTCACTGCCACGCGTGCCCCGAGCTATCGAGCAGCGCAGTTTGCTCTCACAGTTTAGATAGGCAATTACTTCCTCTGCAGGTTCTGTGTGTGATACTGGGGATCAGCAAATGAAACTACCCTTCTGATATCTTACATTTCAAGAGCAACACAGCCTCATTTCCAGTAAAAACTTCTGAGTGGTTTTTG